GCTTATCCCCAATTTTGAAAAACTCATTTATAGCAAAATACACCCCCCCCACCCCATTTGTATTAGAATTAACACACCTGCCTGTTTCACAGGAACTTTTTAAACAACTTGGCCTCACTTTAAATTTTATATTTAAATAAATAATCAAAGATTAACTAAAGTAGATGAGCATTTCCTGTGCTTATGGCACAAAGAAATGCCTCATACACCGTCATCCTACTTCTTGTAAAGCATGAAAACAAAAATCTACTAGCAAATCCACTTTGCTACCAGTTAGTGATTTTGCTTATTATTTCCAAACATTCACCAACAAGAATTTTAAAAAAATAAACTATATTTTTCGGCTTATGAAAAAATCTGAACTCTAAGTGAGCACAAGTGCAAGAAAGCTAACCAATTCCAAAATTCCTGGGGCTTTTCCAGCACTGTCAGAGACACTTTTTTCTCTCACATGCTATTTAAAAATACAAATATTTATTAAACATTCTCTTTTTTTGATGGTGTTTTGCTCAACAGCTAACAAAAAGACACAGCAAAATAACAATCCCTTTTCACTGAAAGCTGTTTCATTATCTGGGCAAGGGCTTCAATAGCACGAGCTGTAGAATTCGCTGCAGATTTGCTTTTGAACAGGAGAACATTCCACTGTCACAGTTGGACTAAATCTTGGTAACTACTTTTCTTTTTTTTAAAAAACAATTTTTAAGATGCAAGCCTTTTGCAATACCGTCTTGTTAAAACACACTGATGCTTCAAGGGTCCAAAGAACGACTCTAATAGGCAAAGTGCTCTAAGACATCACAATACGAGGGCATCTTGGATACTCAAAATCCCCAAAACATTTTAAAGTGCACTCCAGTGTCCCAATTCCTTAGGATTGTTCAGCAGAACTTCGAGAGGGGCTGAGCTCAGTGCCGTCCTCAGTGCTACTGTCCACATCTCGCTCCACTGCCGTCTCCTCGTCGTCGAGGCGCTGACTGGTGAAGTTGTTGAGCTCCAGGAGCCCGCTGGGTTCCACTACCACATTGGAGCTGGAGTGACAAGGGATGGAATAGTGAGGGATAGTCTGAAAGAAAGAAAAGATTTCAGACTTTACAAAAATACAATATATTGTATTGTATACAAAAATTCTGAGAGCTGCAGCAGCACAGAGGCTGAGGAAACCCAGCGGATCTGAGCTATTTATTTCTGCTTATACTCTCATAGGTTCTTAGAAACTAAACCTACAACTTTTACAACTGAAGTTCTGGGCAGTATTTTACTTTTGAAACAGCTCGTAGCATGCCACAGTGACAAACAATACAGATTCTCAAAATATACGGATTTGAAGTAAAACAGAAATCTACCTGTGTCTATTTAGGGAAATGAGGACTAAAAATGAGTACAAAAGTGATGATTTCTATAAAAGTGAAGTTAGCTGCAAGGAAGATTTTGACAAAGTAGCATGGAAAATTTGAAAGCTCTGTACACAAATTATCTCCCACATCAGAAGCGTTTTCACTGTAACACAAACATAATACACAATAAAACCATTTCAATCCACACTACCATTTGTGTGAACACACACCATGCCAACTCGTCTACAAAGATTCATATTGTACCACCACGCATCCTCGGATGACTTAAATACTTCCTCAGCTGACATTCTGACCGTGTATGACATCATACAACATCATATTTCAGACAGTAAAATCAATGAAAATATCAATCATCAGTTAAGCAATGACTCGAAGCATTCAGGCTAAAGATCAATAGTCATTTTATCTCAGAAGTGGCAAGACTGGTTATAAATGAAGTTTTCTTCTGAATCCAGACCTTATTTGCTGAACTTTCGCAGTAAGTAGAATCCCACTACTTGATTTTTTTTGTGCTAATTTTATGCTCAGAGGTAACATTAATAAATATAATAAAAAAACTCTAGAATATAGTTTCACAGTAAGTGTTGAAAGTTCCATTTTGAAGCATTTCAAATAAAAGTACTTCATAAAATTAGATGAGCTCGGCTTGTTTTCCTAAGAGAAAAAGAAAGGAGGAAACCAAGGACACAGTGAATGATACTGGAGAGGGACTTTTTCCAAGGGTTTGTAGTGACAGGACACGAGGCAATGGCTTTAAACTGAAAGAGGGGAGATTTAGATTGGATATAAGGAAGAAATTCTTCCCTCTGAGGGTGGTGAGGCAGTGGAACAGGTTGCCCAGAGAAGTTGTAGCTGCCCCATCCCTGGAAGTGTTCAAGGCCAGGTTGGATGAGGCTTTGAGCAACCTGGTGTAGTGGAAGGTGTCCCTGCCCATGGCAGGGGGGGTGGAACTAGATGATCTTTGAGGTCCCTTCCAACCCAAACCATTCCATGATTCTATGATCTTTGAGGTCCCTTCCAACCGTAACCATTCTATGACTCTATGATACAGCGCTAGAGAAACTCGAGCTCAACTTCAGAAGAATTACACATTTTAAAACTGTAATCCATTAGAAGCATAAGAGTAGGAAAAAAAAAAAAACTAGGGAAGGAAAACAAAAACACTCGGACATCGATCAGTTGCTATCATCAAGTTAGACACAAGTTTGCTCTGCTCAACTTTTGCCTCGTTTGCTCCGGCCTTCTCTTACCTGGATAACAATTTCTGATGAACTCTCTTCAGCTTTCTTTTGTGACATATCCTGAACGTGTACAAACTGCTTTGTTGTAGGCATTCCTTGTGCATCGAGTTTCCTCTCTGGTAAAGCAGGACCAACAGCAGGAGGACTTGAACTGGATCCCGTAGGCGTCTGTTGCTGGGGGATGGAAGTTGCCGTCATCCCTACCGCGGTCCCCCTCGGCACCTGGGTACACGGTGACGGCTCTGCTTCGCTAGCCAGTTTACTAGTGGGCATGGCCTTGTCTGGGGGATCCACTACCGTACGTTCTACGTTTGTATCAATCTGAGCTTCCACCACAGACACTCTCAAAACATCCGCTGTCTTCGCGGAGGCCTGCGTGGGAAACAGGCTGGCAACCGGCAACGCCAGTTTGGGCACGCAACTGCCACCTGCTACCTTTGAAACAGAAGGAGGCTGACGCCCCTCAAAAGTTATCTTTGTAACAGTGGATCCTTGCGTTTTAATTGGATGCTGCACCTGAAAATCAAATTTTTGTTGTGCATGTTACAGCTAGACTTTCTTTACTCTTTTTTTTTTTTTTTTTTAATTGAAAAATCTAATCAATATTTCCAAGGACAGTATGGCACAAACAACATACTTGCTATTAGGAAGACAGTTGAAACTCAGTGTTTTAACAAAGGAATTCGCAATGATATAGTTAACAGTTAATTGAAGCCTGGGGAAAAGCAGCTTTTTAGGCTGCTAGATAAGGATTGTAGCAGTATAATACCACAGCAGCCTCGTTTTCCTTTGGGATTTACATCCCCATGTGATGTTTGTAAACCCTCTTGTTTTCACATGGATTCCTGAAAGGGCCAAAAAAAAAAATAAAAAAAATTGTACTTTTCTGGAGTTAAAATACTTTTTTTTTTTTCCACATCCCTCAGTCTTTACATTTTCCCCTCCCAAGGAAAAAATCAAATTACTCCTGTACATGAAAGCCACAGAACTTCAGGAAGATGTAAAGTACAAAGGAAGACGTACAATGGAGAGCCTTAGGAGACTGACTGCAGTGCACTCATCTTTATTTCCACAGAAATAAAAAGTGCTACGGGAACGGAAATTAATAACGGGTCATATCTAAAAATTAAAAGAAAATAGTTAGGGACAAATTCCATGCACCAGTGGTGGCAGAAATTCATAAAAACTGTCCAACAAAACACGCTTGTGAGCTCTATGGATTTTTTTTTTTTTTTCCCCTATAACACGTGCTCACGTGCTTCTCTTTCCCAGTGTCAGCCTTCTGGCGGGGTAATTAATACCAGCGGAATGAGGAGTTCTCTCTTGCCAGGACAAAACACTGCTACAGCGACAGGGTTGGTGTTTTGATTTTTTTTTTTTTTAAATTTTTTTTTGCCTTGGAACAGCGACGTGTATTTTGCATGCTATCAATATTCCGTTACCTGGCTTGCTGGCTGTTTCTCTGAAGAGGCAGGTAGCTGCATTTGACTCTGGGGGGGTTGGGGTTGCACGTAGATTTTTTGTGCCGTTGGTGCCTGTTGCAGTTTGGGCAGCTGCTGCGTGGTTTTTACTGCAAGCACCTGTACTACAGTTTGCTGTGGCTGTGCCACTAAGGTAGGGAGTTGCCTTTCTTTGGCCACCATGTGGTGTGGGGGGTGCTGTGCATCTGGTTTGGTCTGTGCTTGCTCTTGCTGCAGGGGGGTCAGCTTTTGATGTCTTATAGAAAGCTGGGGCATTTGTGGGAGTTTGTGCTGGATTTGATCGGCCTGCAGGTGGATTGTCTGCTTCTGCTTAGTCTGGAAACACTGCAGAGTTTTCACTTGCAGTTGAGTCTGTTCCAGCTGTGGCTGACTCAGTTTTTGCTGTTTTTGTGCCTGCGATTGTGTCAGGGCAGATCTGTAAAACAGGCCAGTCTGAGGATCTAAGGTGTCCATCTCTTCCACTTCGCCTTCCTCAGTTCCGAGTTGCTCACTGTGTTTGGTAAATGCAGTGTGACTGCTTAAGGCCTTAAGAAGAAGAAGTTAGAGCAAGTTAGTAAAGAGAAATGAATTCTAAGAATATATAACCTAAAAATATTTTTTTTTATGTTTCAACTGGACTACTTCAACTTATTTTACCATTACAGACTCCCAACTCATGTACAAAAAGACACCCTGACATGGAGATTCCGCAGTACGCAAGCAATCAATAGCTATTTTTATCATGTTGAGATGTGGTATGTCTCTATGTGACAACATTAACTGCCTTAACTAATCCTCAGCAGAGATTATGTAGCACTCGTGCGTGTCAGACAAAGGTTCAAAGCATGGCAGTTGGATATGAAGCAGCAGGGATTCGCAGGCGGTTCAACCAGTAGTTCCTCATTAAAGCCAGAGTATCTCTGCACAGTAAATTCTTATTCTGCCTCTTGAGAGTCTAGTCATCTTCTCCATGATTTCTGCTGTAGCTCCCCATATGCCTACAGTCTACCCTGTTTCAGCAGAGATCCTCTCTTCTCCCTCCTTCCTCAAAATTTTACTTCAATTTTTCTTGGGCATTGCACAAACATTCATTTTTCTGAGGGACTGGAGGAAGCAAGAGATCTACGTTACTATGCTTCGCATACCACAGTATAAACGTATTTATTCATGGCCTTAGCAAGACGAATAGATGCCTACAGGAAAGAGGGAGAAGGACTTTTTACAAGGGTGTGTAGCGACAGGACAAGGAGCAATGGCTTTAAACTGAAAGAGGGGACATTTAGATTAGATATAAGAAAGAAATTTTTCACTCAGAGGGTGGTGAGACACTGGAACAGGTTGCCCAGAAAAGTTGTGGCTGCCCCATCCCTGGCAGTGTTCAAGGCCAGGCTGGATGAGGCTTTGGGCAACCTGGTGTAGTGGAGGGTGTCCCTGTCTGTGGCAGGGGGGTTGGAACTAGATGATCTTTGAGGTCCCTTCCAACCCAAACCATTCTTTGGGGCAGCCTACTCCAACACCTGTGAAAAAACACTCTGAAGTGGGCCCACAACCCTAACACAGTACCCTCCTGGTCCACAGCTGAACTTCCCAGGAGTTAAAGCACTGCAGAGCTCAGCAGCTCTTGAACAAAGACCTCGGAATGGCTTCAGTAAGATTTCACCACAAGCCACACGGTTTGTTTGAAGTGTTTAGGAGCCTCAGAGTATCGGTCTAACCATGATCTTACTTTTTGATTCAGAGAAGTTTGCTTATTCGTAAACTAAAGCCCTCAAACAAAAATGACACTGTGTGCTCTGTGTACCAACCAGATTCTTCTTCCTCCCTTTTCCCCCTACACCAACATAAATGAAAGAGCCCAAGCCCTTGCAACACAAAATACAGAGAAAAGCAGCTTGTCGCTGTTGAAGAGATGACATACAGACAGCAAGAACTCCTCTAGCAAGGACTATCTTTTCCACAGTGGTTGCTAATACCTCTTACTTAACAGTCTCAAGCAATCTCATTAACTGCTTCCCTTTTATCCCACCACTCTTGCCATCAGAACAGGCAACATTAAAACTGTTAATGTGCCCTTACACTTAGCGTTTTCAGTGGCAGCAACAGGACATACTCATTCTCAGGGATGCCCCATCCCTGGAAGTGTTCAAGGCCAGGTTGGATGAGGCTTTGGGCAACCTGGTGTAGTGGAAGGTGTCCCTGCCCATGGCAGGGGGGTTGGAACTAGATGATCTTTGGGGTCCCTTCCAACCCTAACCATTCTATGATTCTATGATTCAGAACAAGCCCTGGTCCTATCTAATTCATACAGCCTCCTGCTGTTTGTAGACTGTTGGGAGAAGAAAAGGTACAACCTGCTGCATGATATGGGTAATCGCGCCCGTGGAGGATGCGGGGATGGATTTCACCACGACAGAAGTCTGCGTTGCTGTCTGCGACTGGGCCACGTGCTGCAGCAGAGTCCTCTGGGGCTGAGATGACTGTTGGTGGGGCTGGGACCGGTGGCTGACTGGAAGAAAAAAGGTCAGTGGCACTTCTCCAGAACCAACTGCAGTAACTTTCAACTATTCGCCTGGCATTTAAGCTTCAACTGAAAGCATATACGAGTGAAATAAAGATCTGAGTATGAAAAACCATCTTTTACTTTATGCTAGCTTCAACCTTAAAGAGTAGATCTATTCTGAGAAGCCTCTTCCAAGTAGCAACTCAGGGGCTTTGCTTTTGCCTGTTTCCTGAGTAATCAGCACTCAGTCCAAACCTCCTCTGGCTTCCCTCTCCCAGCACACCAACGTGGCAAGCAGAATTTATACTCCATATTCAGCTGGGTTCTTTATACAGCACCAGTAAAACATTGTAGAGCACAAGTCATTTTGTGGTTTTTACACCGTTGAAAGCACCTGCATAATTGACTGCAATTAAGAACAGCAAGCCTTGCTCACTGAATTTCTGCCACTGAGAAACTACAAGAAATACTCTCCAGAGCACAGGCTAAATTTGAAAGATCAGCAATTAAAAAAAAAAAACAAAAACGTTTGGGTATTATGAAAGTCGAGGTCGATCAGAAAGCACAGACCAAAAACCAAGAGACCTTGTCACGGGTCTACGTCACTTTTTAGAACAGACCCAGCAAGAGCTATGGAGCTATGGTGATGGCTCTGTAATTAAACAGTGGATTGACAGAGAAATGATCTTCTGCTGAGAAAAAAACCCCCACACAAACCATTCTATATTGCAGTCACGGGTAAGACATGAATCTAAATTACTTTGTGCCTGTCCATACTAATATGTAAATATTTGCTTTAATTACCTTTTTAGTTACAAAATAATTAATAGCGGAAGGAGAACAAGCAAAGTTTAAATTCAGTTGTAAAATAAAGTTAAAAAGTTTCTAGTGACCTTCCTGAAAGTTAAAAGAAAGGTCACATTTTGAATTAACACGATAACTTTACTTTTCCACTCCAAGAAAGGAGTTGGATTATATCAATACCGGCCTGCATGCTGTGCCAGATCCGTCGTGGATATCCCCCAACAGCTCCTGCACAATTGAAAACTTCATTTAAAAATAAAGTTTCTAACCTATATGGTTGTGCAGATATTCTTCCGAATGTGAACCAATACAGTGCTGTCTTCCTGAGTCTGCAGACAGACAAAAAACGGTGACACTAAGA